ATATTTGATAGTTTGGGTTTTTTTTTTGGATTTGATTTATTGAATGAGGAGTAGCAATATCTTTTTTCACATTGTAGAGCGTATTCCGAATTTGTCCTTGTGGTTCATTTGAAATGACCTTCTTTGGCTTCAACCATGGTTAAACTTTTTTCCCATTTTCGTAATGCATCATTTTTATGCGCTTGGCGGAAAATTATTTATCAATCTATGTTTATGATAATATTAGGAAATTGATTGACTCTTACATAAATCAGTCAGTACCACATCTTGATAAACTTTTTTAATCGTTGTATTTTACACTAGCGAAAAAAAAAAAAGGATTTCTTTTTAGTCAAATAATAATAGTAATCATAGAGATACAAAAAGTATATAAACATGGTGAGAATTGACCATATTTACGAACCAAAAACAAAAACAAAAACAAAAAAAAAAAAAAAAAGGAAAAAGAGTAACTCGGTTATTATTACCGACCTGACCTTTTTTTTTTTTTCGTTTTCGTTAAATTTATTTATTTATTTTTTTTTTTTTAAAAAAAAAATTCCTTTACCCTAAATGGTTTGAAACACGAGCCATTAATACAAAATAGATTGAATTCAAGGCTTATCTTATACATTTTGAGTGGACGCGATAAAATTTAAAAACGTTTTTTTTTTTTTAAACACGTTCAACCTATAAAAAGCATTCAAACTGGAGTGGGAACCAATTTTGGAACAGAAAATAATAGAAAAAATGGAATATCGATATCTTGGCCATAGCGGGCTCAAGGTTTCTATCCTCTCTCTTGGTGGATGGGTCACGTTTGGACAGCAAGTTCCACCAGGTAAATAAAAATAATCATGATCCCTACAATTTTATAAATATCTTTACACAATATTCACATCCCGTCTCATCCAATGAAAAAAGATGTGACACTTAAAATTATGCAAATTGCTTTTGATCATGGTATCAACTATTTCGATACCGCTGAAGTATATGCCGGTGGGAAATCAGAAATAGATATGGGTAATGCGATTAAGAAATTACAATGGAAACGTTCGGATTTCGTGATTTCCACGAAAATCTTTTGGGGCGGTAAAGGACCCAATGATCGAGGTTTATCAAGAAAGCACATCATCGAGGGATTGGACGCATCCTTAAAGAGGCTGGAGTTGGAATATGTTGATATAGTCTATGCCCATAGACCGGATCCGGATACTGTGAGTATATATGATTATTACCATATTAGTTTTTGAACATCCTGTTCTTAAAATTTCTCTTTTATTCGAATTAAAGCCGATGACGGAAATAGTTCGTGCATTCAACCATGTAATCGAGAAAGGAAAAGCTTTCTATTGGGGAACTTCAGAATGGTCGGCTCAACAGATCATGGAAGCTCACGGTGTGGCTAATAAATTGGACCTCATCCCCCCGCTGGTAATTATAATTATAAAAAATCCGTTAAATCAGTATAAAAATTCTTTTTCTACGATTATTGAATGTTTTAACTTAATGTTTTTAAAATAATAAATTAGGCAGAACAAGTAAGTATTAGAAAGACAAGGTTACAAAATGATAAAGGCATATTAAGTCAAATATTTTAATCACATCTTGCCTAGGTTCAATACAACATGTTTAACCGTGATCGTGTCGAATTGGAATATGAAAATTTGTTTAATGAATATAAAATGGGTGCGGCCATTTGGTCACCTCTTGCTAGTGGAGTATTAACGGGAAAGCATAATGATCAAATAGCGGAAGATTCTCGAATGAGTTTAACAGATAATGCTGTCATGAAACGGTTAAGAGAGGGTTTATTAAGCGAGGAAGGGAAAGTAAAAATTGACAAGGTCAAGAGATTAAAGGTATATTTACACATGTATATTGTAAATTCACGATGCGCTTCGTTACATTCTGTTGTTAAAATTTTTTGTTTCGTGACATAGCCGATCGCTGACAAAATTGGAGCTACCCCGGCACAATTAGCTCTTGCCTGGTAAGTTTTTAAAAGATTATCTTAATCTTAGATCGTAAAGATAACCAAAAAAATGTTTTTTTTTTTTCATTTACAAAGGTGCTTGAAACACCCACGAGTTAATACGGTAATTACTGGTGCTTCCAAACCCGAACAAATCAAAGAAAATCTTCGAGCCGTTATATTAAAGTCCAAACTGACACCTGAAATCATGGCAGAAATTGACAATATATTAGATAATTTACCAAAACCTCAATTTAATTTCAGAGATTCATAATATCATATATTTATTAAGTTCCTGATAAAGGTTATAGATGTTCAATTTCTTATTTTTTTTTACACCATAAAATAAAGTTAATAAATAATGTTGGGTTTATAGATGAACAATTTAAAGTAAATTACCTAAACGTTTTGAATTATCAAATGATATTGTATTATATAAAAAAAAACCCCCCCAACAAAAGAGTAATCCGAAGATCAAACAAATTTAAATAATGTCTAAAAAAAAAAATTTATTTATATTACTTTACATTATTATGACTACATAAAAAAATATATTATTATTGTTTTTTTTTTTTTTTTTTTTTTTTTTTTTGGGTTTTAAAAAATAAAGTTATTTTTACAATTGTTTTTTCAACAATAAAAACACGGAGATCAAATGATCAAAAGGAATTTTTTTTTTTTGTTACGGATATTTCGTATTACAAAATAAAATAAATAAAATTCAGAGAAAAAAAAGAAAAAAAGCTTTTTTTTTTTTCGGGGTGATCATAAATTGGGGGCACATTTTTGGGCTAAAAAAAAAAATAAATAATATTTATTATTCAAAAATATTATTATATATATAAAAAAAAAAAAAAGATTTATATTTATAAGGTAATTTATAATAGAAAAAATAAAAAAAAAAAGTACATTAAACAATAGTTGAATGGTTCCTCATTTTTTTTAAAAAAAATCGATCTCAATAAGAATTCTAACATTGAAAAAAAAATCAAATCTATTGTAAAAAGAAACTTTAAATAGATTACAATAAAGATCTCATTGTGTCTTTATATAGAAAAAGATAAGATGAAATCAAATTTTTGTTTTTTGAAATTGGAACAACAGGTTAATAATCAAGTAAGGATTCATCGGCATATTCATCAGACAGAATATAAAGAAAAAGAAAATTTTGTTTTATCGTTATTCAGAACTGAAATCGGGTTGCATTTTGCATTTTTTTTATGCAATAAAGTTTTTTTTTTTTTTAGCCGTTTTTTTCCTATTTCGAAACAAAATCAAAAAAAAAAAAAAATCAAAAAAAAATTTCGGAAATTTCCGATGAATAAAATTTTACTATACGCTCCGATAAATATTTTCTTTTTTCACGAGCAAATCTTTTTATATTTTTATTTTACCGGAGGTGGTGGAGATATTCATCCCTGATAAATAAAATGGCGCATTCAACCAAATCAATCAGTTTAGATAATCTATCAGTAGTTTATTAAAATATGTAATCACTGCGCGATTAAAAATTTTCACAAATGCTGTTTGAAAATGTAAACAAATAAAGACCATATATTTTTTTTCAAATCTACGATACTGTAAATATAACCATAACAAAAAAGCACTTTTTTTTTTTAAGATTTCCTTATGAATAATATTTTCAAAGATTTTTTTATTATTTTTACATTTTTTTTTTTTTTTTTTTTTACGTTGATTGATTGATTGATTTAAGTTTTTACAAACAAAAAGAGAAGGAAAAAAAAGGTTGAGCTATTGTAATAGCTTACTTAAAAGAAGGAATAATCCCAAAAGATGAAGTAAATTTTTTTGAAATTGTAATGAATTTTTTTTTTTTTTTTATGAATATGTAAATTACATCAAATTGCTTCAAAACTCTGTCCAACTTAAAGAAAAAAAAACTAATGATCTTATAAATTTCTTTTTCGTTTCTAATAATAATTAAACATACAGTGTAATGTGTATCCTTTCATAGTGAATAAAGGATTGATTATTGTGAAATTATTTTGTAATGCAAAAAAAAACCTGAAAGTTTATGTATATTTGTGTAAATTGTATTTATAAATTTATGAAATGTAATTGGTATAAATTTTTCGTCATGCATAAAAAAGAATGTAATCATTCTTTAGTCACATTTTTGTCCATAATTGTCGGCAAAGGAGCCAGACAGCTTTTTTTGTGATAAAATCTAACAAACCTCCCCTGATGCTGAACCTCTTTGTTCTGTTCTTACAGAATCATTTCCATTTAACACTCTATCTACATTTGATCTATTATCAACATTAGTTTCCAATAATTCATGCTCATTTCCATTAGGTAAAGATGCGGATAATCTAGCGTCATACCTCCTGGGTATTGGCGACAGTATACGGGATATATGATGATGATCGTCGGGAACTTCTCCAAAATGATGAGGAATGTTCGTTGTTGAATAAAAATCGTCAGCGAACGAAGATCTTCGTTCTGATCTCTGAATTGGCTGTGGTTGTGGCTGTGACTGTGAATCCATTGGCCAATTAACGCCTCTACGAATGTGACGCCAAGTTGAAAGTCTTGGAACAGGTGGAGATGGCGATGCGTTATGTTCATTGGGATATAACATAGTTGGTTCTGGAAGTTGAGAGGTCGGAAGACGAACCGTTGATGAGGAAGGAATATCAATTCCACGTTGAACTAACTCATCTCTACGTTCTAAATTTACCGTTGATGAAGAATTTCGTGAATTTGAAGATCTTCCAGAAGTATGTCCTGTTATTGATCTATGATGTCTAGATGAGGAATGTCTAGATGAAGACGGCCTCATAAATCTACTTTCATGATGTTGTCTCAACAAATTAACCCTTCTAATGACATTATCTAACGCGGCACTTGAAGAATGATTACGATGTGAAGGATTGATATGATCATTGATATTATTATGTCTTTGAATACCACCATCGTTATTTCTCGTATTATTATTATTGTTATTATTATTGTTATCATTGTTATTATTATTATTATTATTATTATTATTTATATTTATATTGTTATTGTGATGAAGATTATTATCTAATGAAGAAACAAAATCATCAAAGGAGAAATCGATTTCATCTTGAGACTCGTCTAATCTTTCCCTAGCAGCGGCAAAAGCAAGTTCACTATTAAGATTCCTATCTTGTAACCTCAGCGCAGCCTGCTGCTGCAATAACTGTTGCTGTGTACGATTAAGATTTAAAAGGTGTGCGGAATGTAACCCACGCCTTGAAGCCAAATTTGATGATGGTTCTCTTGTACGGTGAATTTGATGAAGTTGATGAAGCCTTTGTATGTGTTGCTGAACTACATTATACGGTAGAGTAGTAGACCTTGGCCTCTGGCTCCTTGTTTCTGGCTGAGTCACAAATCTAGGCTCCGGTATATCTATGAAAAGAACAAAAGGTGAGTCAAAAAGTAAATGAAAACTCAAAGGAACTTGCAAACCAAGATTGAATAGTCACCGCTGTATATAGGTAGCGATGAAGTAGCAGGGTTTCGATGAACAAAATCGCGACCATTACCAAAGGCACTTGTTCTAGAGTTTTGGTAAGCTTCTTCCAAGTCGTCTTCGACTTGTGGTGTATATGGTGGTGACGTTGGCTGTTTCGGTGGAAGCTGTCTCTTTGACAGAGATGGTGAAACATACATAGGAAGTCCCATATTTATTTCTCGTTCTCAAAGTATAAAAAGCTGAGGTTTTTTTTTTTTTTTATAAAAAAAAAAAGGCGGAGTTGAATACGAGCAAAATTTTTTTTTTTTTTTTTTTTTTTGTGTTTCTGTTTGGGTAAATGTTGGATCCCCTTTATATATAGCAAAAAAAAAAAAAAAAAAAAAAAAATTTTTATTTATTTATTTATTTATTTTTTTTTGCAACACCAAAACTTCTGGGAAAATTATAAAAAAAAAATTTTTTTTATATTACAATATATATTTTAATACAATAGATAATAGATACCAAACAATTCAGGAAATGGAAAAAAAATTTTTTTTACTTCCTCTCGTTTACTTCCCTAGTTTTTCTCCACCTTTTTATTCTTACTACTAAAGTGATGATCACCCCTGTTTATTTGTTTGTTGAGGAACAAGAAAAAAAAAAGGGGGGATCCAATGAATGAATATGATTGAAAAAAAAGGAGACGGAGGGAAACGGTCAGTCACCCAACAGATTTTAATGAAAATTTATGGATTTATTTATGTATGGCAAAAGGTTTACATGAAAGGATTAGGCTACAAAAGAATGGAAAAAAAAAAAAAGAAAAAAAAAATGTGTAATATAAATTATCATTGATGATAATGCATTTTTATTACAAATTGCAGATACAGCAAAATATTATCGTCATATCAGTGTCCGCTCACGAGTTGGACAATACCGCCAAAAAAAAAAAATTGTTATTCGCTATTCTTTCCCTATTTGGCAAAATTCTTAAAAAACTAGCCAAATTGTACGCCATTAGACTTTTTAACCGATCAAAAGATTTTTTTTTTTTTTAAACTCCAATTTTCCCTAATTTTTTCGATCGAGTTCCTGTACAAGCGTGTAACCATAATGTCGCGTGATTTACAAACCATTATGCAAATGTGTATGCATACAGTCTAACCATATTCATTCATCTCGAATGAAGTCGCGGGGAACCGGTTCTGGTGTCACGACTGAAAGGAGCTCGTTTGCAAGATTGTACCTTGTGTGATTAGCATCATGACGAAAAGGAGGAAGAGGTCGATGGTGAGCAGATAGAACGATCGATGCTCCAGATAGAGCGAAGTTTGTAGCTGCATTTGTGTCCCTCCTCGTGTTGTATATTTGATCTCCTGCCGGACACCGGGGATGGACACATTCTTGCAGGCGAACAATCCGCTCTTTTCCACTTGAAAAACAGAACGGACAAGTTTTGGAGGTATTGTACTCGTTGGTTATGCCAACATGTCCATGAACGCGATGTTGTTCCCGGAAATGCAGCCATCTTGTTGCTTGTCGAAGGTTTTCTTTTGCAAAAGGCCGAATCGAACGCTTCGTTCACCCTTGATACGAATTCACTGTCAGGAGCTTCTGAAAATGTGAGGCTCTGGCCACCCTCTTCACGAAAACTACCATTCTTGAACGTTTTGCCTATGAAAGATACGGCGCAAGAGTAGTTAGTTAATCGCCTAACGCAACAAAAACTGTTGCATATCGATATACCTGTATATCCGTCTCCTCACTGTTTGATACTCTTTTTCGATTTTCCTTGCCTAGTGTAATAATAAGGTGAGGTTCAAATAATGCAAGTGGTGTGGCGGTGCGGAAATTGTGAAGGCTATTTATATAAATTCCTAAGCTGCGGTTATAGACCCTACATATTACACATTTAAAAAAGAACTGCATTAATATTACCCAATTGTATACTATTGTAATACGAAAACTGGAATGTGTAATTGTGTGCTTTTTTTTAAAAAAATTTCTTTCATTGTCCGAAGCGTAAATATTCAATACATGTTATTTTTGAAATCGGATTTACTTTTTTTATAATAAATCTTTTTTTTTTTAATCTTTAGCGATTATCCTTAACAATTAAAGATAATTTTTATAAATATTGTAATTGATGCTAAATTAATAAAGGAAATAAAAATTCGTTATAATGATTTGATTTAAATTTTCTCATGTCATGTAATTATTGTTCTCACGTAGTGATGGGATCCCTGAATTATTAGTTAATAATTTTTTTTATTATTAACGACTAATAATGGTTAATAACAATTAATTTTATATTTGTAATAAATACTTTAATTTATGCAACAAGCGCAGAATTTTAATTGTGAACTTTATGTGATATCAATTCCACCGAATTCTGCAACTTTCTGAACATTGTTAGGTAATATACATACAGAACGTCGTAATCGACTATCACCATCACGAGCTACAAATTTCTTGGTATATAAGCCAAAAATCAAAGCAAAATATAAATGGTAGATAATAGTTTTGATGAAGATGAATCTGTAAATGATGATGAAATAGATGAATTTATGAATAATTTAAAACAAATATCTGAAAAAATTATTAGACGATATTCAAGTGTCCAATGACACAAATAGTGAAGAAACAATCCCAACACTTATGTTTTCGATTTTAAAATTGTTACATTTGCGAAATCATAAATTACGAAATGTGATAAATTCGATTTACTGCGTCATAAATTACTACCCAATGAGCTGCGCAAAGATAATTAAAGTTTCTAACTTTAATATCATATCATACATTGTTTTGTTTATTAAAAAAAATTTTTTTTCTCGAGATAAAACAAATATATATTTCTAGAAACATCCATCAAAAAAATTTTTTGGTGATTCTTTTAAATTGGTCGAGTCAAATTTTTTTTTTCCAATTATGTATTAATTATTTTTTTTTTTTTTTTTTTTTAAAAATTGACAATTTCTATTTGAAAGCACGGCATGTCATGCATGACATGGTGATTCCCGACAGAGTTGATTGGATGATTTGTTGTTGATCAGCCAAGCCTCAAATTTTTCGACATATAAAAATCCGTTTTCATTTGTACGTTTTGTTTTTAAGGCCGACTTTGTTCGAAAATAATAATGGCTTCATATATTTTCAGACCATTTGAATTTGTGGTAAGAAACTTTTTTCGGTACCTTTTTTTTTTTGTCTTGTGTAAAATTCTCCCCGAGAAGAATAAATTCAACTGCTTGATCTTTAATTAATTTCTGATAATCATTGAATTATTGATTAATTAAATAGCGTCGCATGGCTGTAGAAAAGCCGTCTTACACATGGGCTATTGGTATCGGGTTAATTGGTAAGTGTTTTTATTATTTTCTTTTCCTTTTTAAGTAATTTGGCTTTTTTAATTATTTTTTTTTTTTTGTTTCTAATAATTATGTATGTAATAGGACCAATTGGAGTTGTGGTTATACCACCTATTCGTAGAAAATACTTTGGATACGTTCCTCCTGAGCGTATACCAACCACTTATCCAAGTAAGTTATACAAAAAATATTGATTGTTGATTTTTTTTTTATTTGTTTCGAAAGAAAAAAATTTTTTTATTTATTGATCATGCATCAACCGAGATTTTTATTGCATATATTTAAAGTTTTTTTTTTTTTTTTCATCTCTTCGACAATTTGATGATAATGATTCAATCATCACAATCATCATCACATAATCATTTTGAGTTTATCGTTGTTTGCTAATGACGTTTCTTTCCTTTGTTTACTTAGTACCAAAGCGCCCACGTAATTCACCATCAGGTTTCGAAGATCCCTGATGATATAAGTAGTTAATAAACAATTTCTTCTTGTTAAAATGAAAGGTTTGTTCGCTTTTGTTGATTTTCTTTATTAACAAGAACGTTTCCGGATTGTATCATCGGAATTTGGATATTATGGAAAAATATTAATTAATTCGACGAATCTTTATGATCGTTAATTCCAGCCGCGTTGATCGATTGGATCACGTGATACTTGTAAAAAATTAGAAAAAAAAGGAATAAAACTTATTTAAAGGAATATCTAGGTTAATTGGTATTTTCTTCTTCAATAACGTCAATAGATCTTATGCCCTTATGATTACTATGTTCATCTTTTTCAACATCATTATTTTCATTCATTTTTTCGTTAGTAATAAAAAGATTGTCAATAACAAAATCAACTTGACAAAAACTAGAGCCCCTTCTATGTCTAATGGTGGTAAGATTATTATTATTATTGGTTAACAATTCCATTTCTTCATCAACCTTCCCATCATCATCATCATTATCATCAATACAATCATCACCACCATCTAATGATAATGTTATTCCTTGTTCTTGTTCAACTTCATTTATAGCTTTCCTTGCACTGATCCAAACATATATTATTACACCAATACCAATACTTATTCCAATAATCATCATTATTGCTTTCAACACATCCTGACTGTTATTATTACTAGTTGTGCTAATATCATTGGTTTCTTTGAGAGTATAATGAGCAGAAAATGAAGATAACTTGCTTCCAATCCAAACATGTATCATTAATTTGAATAAAGATAAGGCGGTTGCTCCTACGAACGTTTTGAATGATAAATGTGTAGCTGACAACAAAGTATTTAACACATTATAAGGATAAGGTGCTAATCTTATTAAGAATAATAACTATAAAAGGAATTAGATTAATGATGATCAGTTTTTTTTTTTATAAAAATTCAAATCAACAAATATAAACCAATTTCACACCACACCTTGAAACCCTTTTTCTCAACCGCTGTAATGACAGCATTAAGGGATTTATTTTTATGTAACATCCTTCTAACGGATTTTCTAAACCATTTTCTACTTAAATAAAACACTGTTATGGCTCCTGTAAGAGCTGCCATATATGATATAAAAAATCCTACCCTGAACCCAAATGTAAATCCTGATAAAGTAATTAATGTGCTATATCCAATCACCAATGGGAAAGTGGTTAAAAATATCATTAGATAGAATATCATGCCACCACTGGTGCCCATCGACTTTACCAAATGAGCAAAATTATCTAATACCAAGAAGATTTCCACACGATAACCTAGAAATATGCATAACGTGATTATAGATAATATGGCCCAGATGATAAATGGCATCCATGGTTGTAATTCTTTTAGGAACCTACTTAAATTATTTAATGCGTTACGAATTAAAGTAAATTTATCTGTATGATGATTATTATTATTATTATATGAAATGTTATTAAGTGAAATTATACTATTTAATGATGACACTGATGTTGCTTTGCGATGTTTTAACAACTTGATTGATATCTGATTGTTGATCGTTTCTTTTTGTTGTGGTTCAGGGGTCGGAAGTAGAGGTAAATTAATTTGGGAGGTTAAATTATTTGTTGTGATAGAATTTGATGTAGGAGATTGAATCCTTTCAGATATTGACGTTGATGTGGCTGTTATTGTCGCAACTTGATGTGCTAAAGGTATATCTAATTCCGGTAACTTCATTATTACTACCAAATATTGGGGGGGGGAAATATATATATATATTATACAGATATTTACAAGGAAATGACGACTAGGTTCTATGATACCAACAAAGGGTTGTTTTTTATTTTTTTTAATAAAAAAAAAAAGGAATATCTCCAAAAAACGTATGTTTCGTCAACTTTTAATACCTTTAAAAGTTACCGCTCTCAACAACAAAAAAAGTTAGTATTTATATAAAAATGGTTATCACGATATTTTATTCACAAAAGAATGGTTAATTTTGATTACCCGCCAATAAGGAAGGAAAGTTCAAAAAAGGAGTGTAAAAATAGTCGGAAAAAAAGTGGTTGTTCGAGTAAAGAGAGTTGCTGCACCCGAAACAAATTTATTACATGTGATCTACATTGATGATCTACGGCTTAACTAATAACAATGTGCATGGGTAAATTATTCTGTATGAATGAACCGAGTCAATGCGGCCGCTATACACCGATTTGACGGATTTACACGCGGGAAAATTTGATTTAATTACTCGTCCCCAATGAGATTAATGTAACAATCAGGCAAATGTACTAGTTTTTTTTTTTTTTTTTTTTTTCGTCAATAAATATAATTTGGTGGCAAATTAAAATTTCTATTTATATACATAAAGCATTTGCTTTTGCATACTCTAATGTGAGACAACTTTAATAGACTTAAAGGAAAAAAAAAATTTTTTTGTTAAGGCGCAAAATATGGCGTAATCCTATTAATAGAAATTATTGCAACAAAAAATTTTTTAACATTTCTGATTGTATTAACATATTTGTAGTTCAAAGACAACCTTGTTACTACGATTTACATCTCATACTTACTTTATTCAGATAATGTCGTAATCTGTACACGGTCTAACTTTAAAAAAACTTTATCCTGGATCGTCACGTGAACAATAACCATTGTGAGATTTAAGGTTTGTTGCAGATAATATGGTAAATCAAGAAATATACCAGATCCTAACTAAACTACCCCCGTGTAAAATATCCCTTATATAGATGATAATTATTAATAAAAATATATATACACTATTTGCTTTGTCCTTATTTTCATATCGTTATAATCAAAAATCATATCATCTTCTAAACCATCAGTTTTAACTAAAATACCATAACATTTGAATCAACTTTTTTTTTCCCATGTTATCTTTATTCATAAAGATAAAAATATGATGGCTTTTTGATATGTTCAGCTGGAATTAGATCACGAACTTCATTTGTCATCCAATCATTATAAAGTTCACGAACCTAAAGAAAATTCTAATTTTTAATTTGTATTATAATGAATATAATAATAAATAAAATAACTAATACTTACATTAGATTTAAAGCTTTTATTAACTACTACATCAAGAGATTGCAATTTAGATATTAATCCATCAGGAATTACTGCTATATTAATATGAACTTCTCCAATTTTTATTTAATAGAATTAACTAAATAACCATAAAAAGAATCAAAAATAAGTAGAGATCTAGATTTTAATAATGAATCAAAAGTTCTTTTAGACCAAATATTATCAACCCACCAATTTATTTCTTAATCCTTTTTCATTATTTCTAATAAATACATCGTTAGAAAATTCATCTTAGGGTTTATTTTTCAATTTAAAAATAATAATAGGAAATAATTTAGATCTATTAACTATACAACCTAATACATCTGTAAATATACTTTTTTTATATGCTATAATTTTATTAGAAGTATATTTTACTAAAGTATAAGAATTAAATAAATCAAAAGAAATTGAAGTTTTGTTTATATTTGTAATAAATTAAGGTAGATAATCATGTTGTATTCTTTATAAAGTGAAATTTTATTTATATTTTAAGCAAATATTCTGATAAATAGTTGTTTTTTATTTATTTGATTAATCATGACAAACTATAAAGCAATTTATCTATTTCTGTAAAAATTTAAATAAAAATTCATTAGGATACTTTTCTTAATATTCTTCAGTTTATAAAAGTTCTTTAGCTTTTTTATTAGCATATTTTTAATAATTGATAAATATTATATATGATAAATAATAATCTATTCTGCTAATTCTTATTCTAATTCAGGAAAAAATGATTATTTGTTACTATGTAATTTTAATAAACTAGGTAATAGGAATTATTAGAGCATATGAAGCATCATCACTAAAAAAAGTATTATGTAAATAAAATACATACTTTAATATATTACATCTTATTTTAATTTCTGATTAGCTATATAACGTATGTAAATAGACAATATATATATAATTTACAATAGAATAGAAATATTTTATGCTTACACTTCAGACAATAAGATGCAAAAGATTTTAACATTTTCTTTTTTTCTTCAATTATAAACTTAATTAGTTTTAAACTAAAATATTTTTTATTATATAACTATTTGAATTTTTCAAAAAATGTAAGATTATTAATTTTTCATATATATTATTACCAGTGATAAGTATTGGAAGTTTCCAATGATTTTTATTAGAATTAAAAGTATTATTGGAATTGAAAGAATTGAAAATCCAAAAGTATTACTAATTTTCACTTAATATAAAATTTATATGTTTTTATGGGCAATGAAAACTTCTAATAACTTTTTATTAGAATTAAAAATATTATTAGAATTGAAAGAATTAAAAGTTTAAAAATGCTTCTAATTTCCAATACACATCACTACTATTACCTTTTTTTTAATATAATTCTAGAGTAATTAAACTTTTTGTCTCTTTAATATTTATTTTTAAAAAACTATAAAATGCAATTTAAGTAAATATAATATAAAAATTAAACACAAAAGTATTATATACTTTTAAATAAAAATCTAATCATTAGAGATTCTTTAATTTTTTATTATAATATTATTAAAGAACTTTTAGCAATTTGCATTAAATTATAATAGTAATATCTTAATCTAATAAAGATATTATAATTTACTGGTGATGTTATAGCCTAATAAAGATATTACCAATAGTATTATAGTTTAATGAAAATATTATAATTTATTAAAGATATCATAATCTAATATTACAATCTAAAAATAATTTTATAATCTAATGGTAATTTTATAATCTATTGGTAGTATTATAATCTAATTTTTAGTATTTTTGCATTTTTTTAAATATTATTTTAATTAATTTCTATTATATTATAAATAATAATAATATAATTTAATAATAATTTTCATAATCTTATGAAAAATTTATAATCTAATGGTAATACTTTTTCTGATTATCTTTAGTTTTTTTTATATCTAAAAAACTATTTATACTTTAATTCTTTTTTATATTTTTATTTATTTATAGAAAGTTAACTATATTATAGTTTATTTTTATACTCTTATTACTATCAGAAAGCTATTTATGTATTAGTTTCTTCTACACTTTTTTATTACTAAGAAATAATTTATATTTTATCTAAATTTACTTACATTCTTTAATTTTAACTAGCTTTATAATATAATTTTGATTGATTTTTAGACACATAATTTAAGAATTCATCTCAGTATACTATACTAATAGTATAGTAATATTATAAAATTAGAATAAAACTAATTAGTTTACTAATTTTTTATCACTAATATGCTAACTTAAATATTAAAATATTGTATTTATAGTTTTAGCCAAAATTATAAAATAATACTAATCAAAATTAAATAAAATTTATTACTTAATTATATTAAGAATATCCTTAAAATCTTTTTAACACTTTCAAGTATTTTTGAACTTCAGTCTAATAATCAGTTGGTTAAAGTATTAGAAAAGTATTATATATTATTATACCCAATCTTTTTAATTGTTAGAAAGTATATTATTTTATAATTTATTTATTGTCTATTAGTTATCAGTATAAGTATACTAATTTTATAATTTATTTATATATTCTTTTTTTTTAGTTACTAGTTTAAATATGATAATATTATATCTTAAATTTAAAATATTAAAATACATTTACATTGTATTTCTAACATATTTTTAATTATATTATAATATAAAACAAAACAGATTTTTTAACATTATATAATCTATATATTTCTATAAAATAAATTATAAGAACACTTATAAGAATAATTTTAATATTGATTTTAGAATTTCTAGTTTAATTTATTATATTTTTATTACTTTTCCTTATTTTCTTATATATTTCTATAGAATATAAAAGTTCTAAAAAAAAATATTTGATTTTTCTATAGTATTTATATAGGTATATATAATTATAAATATATAATCATAAATATAATTAATACAGTGCATACAACTTAATCCCAACATATAAATTTGACAAAATTTAAATTATTACTCTTCACTTAAAAAAATGATAAATAAAAAATACAATCGTAGAATGATAGAGCAGTTCAAGCTCAATAAAACTACGATTTTAAATTTCCAGTAAAGTGGTTTTTAAAAGAACAGTAGCAATTCAAAGTTGGGATATTTTACTATTAAATCAGATATTTTGACCACTCTACACGTGATACATGTAATTAAAATTCCTATCGTTGATTAGCTAGATTATATTGATCACGTTTTATAGCGTAACTCAAATTAAGAATAAAATAATATTGTCTCAAATTTATAAATTTTTCTTTTTAAATTCAAAATAAGAGCCTTTAATATTTAAATAATATATTCCTCTTCTTTATTATCGAAAAAAAGTAAAAATAGATATCTTAACAAAGATAAGTATTCTAATTTTCAAGTGTTTTGCTCTAATTACTATTACTTTATTACATAATCACTAATTTTTCTTCTTTTCTTTTGCCTATAACCCATAACCTATAGCTAGTGTAAGTAAATATATATCAAATGAAACTGATTTATTCTAAGTATCGACTGATTGTAAAACTGAATCAGGAATCTGACGATGTAAACAGTATTTTTTGACTGCAAATTCTGCTGCCTGACCTGTCAAGCCTTATCGGTATACATCCAATCCATATAACGAAATGCTTTTCTTGCATATTGACGAATAGTTATAAGTAAAACAGAAGCAAGAGCCAATAGAACAGTTCTTTGTAATCCTGTCCATGAGTAATCGTAATGTGATTGACTAAATTTCTTGACTGCATCCCAAAAGTTCTCAATGTAATTGAGCTCACAATGAAACTTGGGATAGAATATAATTTGATGTCCAGCTGCAACAATAATTTCTTCTAGTTGTCCTTTTTGTGCTAAAAAATCTGGTTGTTAACTCGTTACTTTTCTTGCTTCTTCCAATTTTAATCCTTCATTTGGCCATAATCCTCTTTCCATCAGAACTTGCTTTAATCCTTTTGGCTATTCATACAATTCAGTAATATGATAATCTAATGGAAAAATTATGTCCTGTCGAATCCCTTCACCAAAATACGTACTGCGCATTTTTTGTTGTTTTCCACCAGAACTGAGATTCATATAATTGGCAATAAATGCATCTGAAGAAAAAGCAGCGTGACTTGATACATTGTCAAATGCAAACAAAGCCTGGCATCCTGGAAAACGTACTTTAAATATAGGTATAGCACGTTTAACTACTTGATTTATTAGATCCTCAACCTTTCACCATCCATCATTATTTTTTCCTGAATACATAATGATACAAGCTTCTTTAGGGAGATCATCTGATGTTTGCATTTTATCAGGAAATGTAAGGCGGTCACAAACATCGGTTAAGAATTTACTCACATGAATGAAGCGTCCATTACCTTTTTTTCTTAAAGGTTGTTCTCCATTTAGAATCCAAAGGCTTCGACTTCTATCATAAACTGAAAAAATACATTCATCATGTGTGACAAGAATAAGTGGTTGTACATTATCACCTAGCCATGTTATTTCCTCCAAATTGTCTCCAGAGAAAATTGGCATCCTATTCTTAAGTTTATCCATTTGTTTTAAGAAAATTTTATGATAAGCCACCACATCTTTCCTTTCATGTCCATCTATATATGTTACCTTTTTCACCTTAGCATATGTATATCTAAGTTCTTTCAAATAGTTTCTTGCAGTGTTAAGATGAATAGTTAGAGATGATGCAAATCCAAGTCCTGGCAAAATAATTTCATTCATCTATATCATTAGTGTTTGTGAAGTAACATCCCACTTATGTTTCCGAATATAAGCTTTTACTTAAAGAATAATGTCCTTATCCTAAAGAAAGCTTCATACTTTGGTATGATATCCTCGACAAAAGTAAAGAATTTTATGGGTCATTATATAATCATTTGCCTAAAAATGAATGCATCTAACATAATATACCCCTTTTCCTGCTGCATTAGCAACAATCTCACTTGCGTTCATTTTTAAATAATTAGATTTATAAGTTAAAGGTAAAGTTAAATACTATTTAGATGTATTCAAATCTCACTATTAACCTTTTCTTTTTTGAGATCTAATATTAGATTTTTGAGAGTAACCTGAATTTTATTATGCCAATTGCAATCTTCAATTTCATCATCTGATTCTTCTACATTAGTCTCTTCAGTCAGCTCCTCATCAATTTCTTCAGAAGGTTTCTTGGTATCCCAAAAGGTGTGTAAAGTAAGAGTCCCTTTTGCTGCTTCACGCTACTGTTGATTCTTTCTTCTTTTAGTACGACTTGAGTTTCTTATATAACGTAACCTATGTACTTCTCGAGAAGTATGTTCCTAATAATACTTTCTTGTTGCTTTACAAAGTTTTTCTATAATGCTTGTAGCATTATCATTTTCCACTAATTTATCATCAATAGAGTTATAATGGGAAGAACCATTGTTAACTTCAAAGTAATCTTTCAGATCATCGTCATATCCTTTAGAATCACTATGGACAGAACCATCATGGGCAGATATATCATCATTACTAACTTTTATATTATTTATTTTGTAGGCTCTTCTTGATTGTTTTTGACGTCTTGTCGGATGCAGCATGTTGGTAAGTATTAAGTTTTATTGTTGAATAATGATTCTTTTTGTGTACAAGAAAGCCAAACGAGCTGGCAAACTTGCTGCTGATGCAGTTCTTGACCTTGAAGTTTATAGTAAAATCTAAAAAATTTTTCAATTATAAAACGCAAAGCGATGTGAAAAAAAATTATCATAAATTAGTTAATCACAATCAGGCTATTTTTTTATTGTGATATCGATCGGCTAATAATGTAATAAGTGGAAGAGAATCACAAGAGAAATGTACTGTATTACATCATAATAAAAATATATCACAATAGAAATGTATCATAATAGGAATGTATTAAATAATAAATTTATTTTATCTTGTTTCTATACATATATTAAACTTTATGATAAACTATTCGTACTTCCAATCAGTTAATATGTTGTCATGTGAATAAGCACGGACTAATAATATTACAAGTTTAGTAGATCACGTGATAAAAGATCGATATTTCAAAATTGATCGCTTAAAAATATATTTGTTGGAACTAAGTTGTATGTATTATATATAATCAATATATAGGTATTTTGCAGTAGAAAGAGAGGAAATTACCAAAAAAATTTTTTTTACTTAATAAGTTAAATCTTATTTTTTTAGTAAAATAATTTCAGATTTAACATTAACTTAAAAAAATATTTTTTGGTAGTTTCTTTCCTTTTTTTTTGCAAAATGCCTATAATATAAAAAAATTTAAAAAAAAGTAAAAAAGTTTAGAAATTCATAAAGATTTATAAAGATATAAGAATAAGTAATAAAAATAGTTTTCTAAAATTTTTAAATTGCTAAAAAGTTATTTTTATCATTCTTATTAGTTTTTTTTTACTATTCTTATATATAATTATAGGTAAAATTATTAAACGAAACTTAAAGATTTTACAAATCGTCTAAATAGAAAAGGTAAAATGTAGTAAAATTATATTAAAATCTTATTAAAAATTTTGAAATAGATAAAACTATATTAAAGTTTATAAAAATATGAAACTATATTAAACTTAAGTAAAAAAATTAGCAAAACTAAACTTTAGACATTTTATCAATCTAAAATAAATTTAGATAAGCAACCTTAGTTATAAAAAACTCTAAATTAAAATTAGCATTTTGTACAGTCAAGTCTAATTTTTTTAACTATTAGTTATTTTGAATAATTGTCTAAAATTAATAATCAAAATAAGCGATTAAAATTTAATTAGAAGATAGGTAGAAATAATGTCATTTCATATTGAGGAAAGGGGATTATTATACAATGATATTACATAAATCCTATTTTAGACATATCATGTGAAAATCAATTATATGATAATATTATATAAATTTTAATTTAAGTATACTAATAAATAATATATATTTTGAAAATTTCAGACTTTTATTAAGAAATATTATTTATTAATTTAAATATGATCATCATAATACAACTTCAATTAATTAGACAGTTAATAAATAAAATATCAAAATCTGCAGTAAAAAAATATAATATATTTCTTTTATTATATTATTAAATAATCTTTAGTTAAATAAATTTTAGAGTTTAGCGATTTTATTAATAAAATAAATTTTTTCTTAGTTGAAAATTTCAATTAATTATTTTTGATTTTTGAATTTCTGTTCATTTTTTCAGGAGAGTGTACAGTCAACTCTTAATATAGTGAACTCTTGATATAATAAATATTTTAAACAAATATAATAAAAATACTCTTGTTATAGTGAATTGGCCAATCAAATCTCTTAAAATCTTCACTAAAGCTTTATAGCGAAGTTGAGATCTAGGACATAGAGTTTGTTATAACAAGAGTTGACTGTATTGCACTTTTTCAAATTTATGAACTTTAAATTCTATGAAAAAATTTTCATTTATTTTATTTTAACTATATTTATTTCTTATTTTTTTCTATAATAAAATAAATCTATTTTTGAGAATAAAAGTTTTCTAAGAATTTCTTATTTTAAAGCTGCAAAATCTTTATGAATAATATGTGAATGCTTTCGCATTTTCTGAAATGATAAAAATCAAAATACTACATAAAGCAAGAGAAAGCTTCAGTAACAAGCATAAAGTAATTGATGAGAAATCTGAAATAAAAATAAAAATGATATTTATAGTCTTATTTCTGAACTATTAAAAACTTCTATTCAACCTTTACTTTTCAATCTTTCTTCACAAAAAAAGATTATAGTTAAACCTTTAATATTACCTTTAATATCACCTAATCCTTTTAATATTTTAATGATATTTAATTCTTAATTAATGCAATAACTCAAAAAAAGTTAGATGCTATTATTAATCAAGCAAAGATTAAATTATACTAATATAATAATCTTCTACAAATAGCTATATCATAAGCACTTCATATATAATTTTATAAAAATCAAAAAATTTGAAGGAATTGTAATATTAGAAAAAAGTAAGATTAAATAGCTAAAAAGTAATACAGTAGTTTAAAATTAAGCTTGAAAAAAAAAGTGACAAAAATTAGAAAAGAAGAATATTATAAAAATATATGATATTTTAGGTTATTCATCACATTTAATAAATAATTCTGACCTTCTAAAAAAATGTATAATAGCATTGAATTTGATGCTATAAATCACAAATAATACAAAAAAGTAATCAAAATATATATAATCAAGCGTTTTTGTAAAAATGAAAGAAAATTATAATATTTATATATTAAAGTTTACAATGAAAAATTATATTTAACTCATCATCTATGAATAACAGTAGATAATCAATATCATTATTTTGCATAAATATGACTGATGATTATTAAAAGAAACAAAATGAGTAAATATATAGATGAGCATTATTATTTAGAATTAATAAAAGGTGTAAAATTATTTGCTTTGATCTTTTTGCAAGATGTTATTCTGATTTTACAGGATAATAAGATTAAGATCAATTACTTACTTAATTCTTTTTTTAATTAATTGTTTTTAATATATTATTATTATATTTTATTAGATACAGTCAATACTTAATATAATGAAGTAAGCATTCAGGCCAATCAGGCTTTCGTTATAAGAAAATTCGTTAACTTGATATTATATAATTTTATGTAATATAAAATAAAAAAATGATTTTGTGATTATTTCAGCATTCAGTAATTAAAATTTTATGATTTGGTATTATTAGAATCGTCTTATTAAGGGGATTTGAATGGTATATATTTCATATATGTAGCTTTAATACTAATAGAATTATTTTGTACTGAATATTTAAAGATATTTTGATTAATTATAGCATACAATGATTAGATTTTTATGATTTTAGTATTATTAGATTTACCTCATTGAGGGGATTCAAATGGTGAGTATTTTATATCTGTAGCATTAATATTGACAGACATATTTTATACTGAATATTTAAAGATATTTTGATCAATCTAAGCATTCAGTGATTATATATTTATGATGTTAATATTATTAGATTTATCTCATTAAGAGAATTCGAATGGTATGTGTTTTATGTCTGTAGTATTAATATTGACTGAGTTATTGCAGTTTGAAATTAAATCATTCTTATAATATAATTAACTGATTAACCAATAAAAATTGAGTTATAAAATCACATGCCTCATTATAGTAAAAAAAAATTCATTATAAGAAAAATTTGTTATATTAAAAATTATTTTCATATATATTGTTTAAGAATTTAACTTCGTATAAAGTTATAGCAATATAATTAATAAAATTCGCTATATCAAAAATTTTTTTATATGTTAAAATCTGTTTTATACTAAAAATTTGCTATATCAAATAATTTGCTATATCAAAATTTGTTATATCAGTATTGATTGTATTACTGCAATTGAAAGAATATTTAAGATTATACAGCTATCAATCAAACTTATATCTATGCTAAATTATAATTTTTTAACTATCTATCTGTTAATTAATTCCAATGATACAAACAAGTCTTTACATTTTAGTAAAATATGAATTTTTATTCATCTGAAATATTTTTTGGGTATATTATGTAAGACATATATAATAGATCTAATGTCTATTATGAAGAATAAATCTTATTACAAATTTATACATCATGATAGAGTAGTAAAACTAATTTGATATTTGTTAACTAATACATCAGTAAATTTAATAATGCGAAGTATTACGTAAACCCTACGCTTCATAATCTTACGTAAGGTTACGAGCCCGTCGAAAAACTTACGTATCGTAGTACTTCGATATTTTTACGATGTGTAATATTTCGAACGTTTACGATATATAAACTTTCGAAGGTTTACGATGCGTAATATGACGAATCGTAGAAATTCGCATGTTTACGACGTGTAATACTTCGATATCTTTACGACGCGTAATAATTCAAAAGTTTATGACACGTAATATTTCGAAGGTTTACGATGCGTAATATGACGAATCATAGTAATTCGCATGTTTACGACGTGTAGTACTTCGATATTTTTACGATGCGTAATAATTCAAAAGTTTACGATACGTAATATTTCAAAGGTTTACAATGCATAATACTTTGAAGGTTTATAACAGGTAAATTTATGGATTTTATAATTAATATTCTAATCAATGGTAATTAATTTGAAAAACTTTAGTAAATCATTATTTGTTTGTACAATACTTTAAAATTTATTAAAAATTCATTAACATTATGATTTATTTCGTTATATAAGTAAATTTTTCTCTCCCTATTAATTAGCACTATTATCACATTTTGAAAATGTTTAAGTGAAGAAAGATTTGGTAAAATAAGTCAATAATACATAAACTTACGCGACATTAAATAAAATACTAATTATATTAAATAAATATGGCTTACATTACGTTATGAAAAAGTCCATTCCCTCCCAAAAAAC